AGTAGTAGTAAGTAGTAGTAAGTAGTAGTAAGTAGTAATAAGTAGTAGTTTTGTAGTAGTAGTAGTAGTAGTAGTAGTAGTTGTAGTAGTTGTAGTAGTAGTAGTAGTAGTAGTAGTAGTAGTGGTAGAAATGGTTGTAGTATGTTGTAGCGGTTGTAGCGGTAGCTTTAGAAGTAGCAGCCGCAGCAGCAGCAGTAGCAGTAGTAGCCGTAGCAGGAGCAGTAGCAGTATGCTATAGCAGTAGTCGTCGGCGTCGTCGTAGTAGTAGTAGTAATAGCAGCAGCAGCAGCAGGAGAAGCAGCAGTAGTAGAAGTGGTCGTGGCAATGGAAGTGGCGGTGGTAGTAGAGTGGTAGCAGCTGTTGTTGTTGGTTGTGACCTTGACCATCATATCAACCGTATAATAGTACATACACCATGTCGGAATAGCATTCATGTGATGACATGTCGTAAGTCCGAAACTACGTCGTGCTTTCGCACTTAGTGTTCCATTTGGAAACAGGAGCTCGAGTCCCTGCTGGTCGTTCGGTCACTGCGGCTCCTGCGGCTCATTCGCGCACTGCGTCTGCTGAAGCAGCTCCTGGACCGTCAATTTCGTTTGCTCAGGTTGGTCAAGCAAACGCGTGGACGTCTAACAAGGTAGCCGGTGCCGAACTGTTTCAGCAACCAAGTGTAGCGGTGTATACGGCAATGACAGCTAGGAATTGTGTACAGTACTTTGCACGCTATACCAGTGTAGTAATTACTCGTAGTGGCTGTCACTCAACGAACGCATATGATGTCTCTGTGATGAGAACTGCAGGACTCCTTACATATCTACACACACACATGGAATTGCGGAATGCACACACAGAGCTGAAGATGTCAATTTGTGTCTGGGGCAGCACGCTTGCTGTTCGCTGGGCTGTACAGTCGCGGCAGATGCCGGTGCATATATGTATGTATGTGCAAATTAGGTGCACGTTTTCATTGCTAGACTATGAATCTACACGCACACTGTGTCTGCTTACTTCGCTCGGGATACAGTCGCACGCGTGTCTGTGTGTGCGCATGTGTGCCTGTTCGTGTGTGTGTTATGCAATTCCGCGCTGTGTGTAATTGGCTCGTGGGATTTTGTCTGTGTGTGTGCATATGTCTGTGCATGGCCGCTATACATTTAAACACATGCATGCATGTTCGCATGGATGTTCATAACGAATATTTCTATAGATATATACATGGAAAATTAATCTACATACATACATACATACATACGTACATACATACATATGCACTTACATATATACATACATACATACATACATACATACATACATACATACATACATACATAGGTACTTACATATATACATACATACATACATACATACATACATACATACAGATATATATATATATACATACATACATACATGCATGCATGCATGCATGCATGCATACATACATATATAAATACATACATACACACACACACGTATATATATATATACATACATATAAATGCATACATACACACATTCGTATACATGATTGTGCACAGCATCACCGTTTCAGCAAGAGTGAAAGCAGGCAGGTCAATATGTCACGCTACAGTAGAGGCTCACGCATGTAGAGGCAGAAACCGAGAGATTAATGCAGACATGTACGAACTAAGCGAGAATAAGGACACAGGTACACATGTATCTATGTCCGTGTACTCATGTTCGCTTGCTTGTACTGTGTATAAGTGTACGTTTTATGTGTGTGTGTGAAAAAGTGTGTATATATACATATACGGATGTATGTATATGTGTAAATTCAGTATCGTGTATAGGGTCAACAGATAGGGTAGAAAGCAAGCATGCATTCGCGCATGCAAGCACGTAGTCGGCCATTCTGCCATCGCCGCTTTGGAGATCATTGCTATCTGTTTTTCTAAGCAAACACCCTTCTGTTTGTTGTCTCATTGCACGTATGTCTGTGTCTACTTGTCTGTCCGTTTGTCTCTCTGTCCGTGTGTGAGCCTGTCTATCCTTTTGAGTTCCCTGATCCAGTTCCTGGTGCCACAACTGCACGTTCTGATTCTGGCTCCCTGTACAAGTACAAATACTTTATGATGAAGTCCCTGCCGCTCGAGTATGATGGAGTGCCATGATTAAAGCTCGCTTCATACATGGGTTCGGGGTTGATTACTTCTGACTTCTGTATACACATCCTTAGGGCTGCGACTGTGCGGCGCCACAGTGATAAAGCCACCTCGCAGTGCTCAATGTGCATGGCATGCAGACTTGGGCTTGTGCGCTCAGTGCTGCGATCGTGGCAATGGAAAAGTGCTTTCTGCAAGAGGTGCCGGGTGATGCCGAAAGCTAGCCAGTTTCACGGCCGCCTGCAGTGCTCTCCCATACGCCGCGAATGGCGAGACTTTGTTTTATATTACCTTCAGTCCTTGACAAACGCATGGCCCGCGCGTGTCCGAACTCTATGAGCGATTTGTAATCATGTTTAGCGCAAGATGCCTGTGAGTTGCCGAACGACGGTTTGACTGGCGTCCCTGAGCCAAAGGTTCCGCACAGTGTGGAGACTTGTCAACGGCTTACTCACGTCCGCCAACGCGATGGTTTCAACCCTGGTGCTGGTTGTAGCTTGGCCTGGTAAAAACACTGCATCACGCCCAGCTCGTGCGAGCTGGTTCAACCTGTTGAAGATGACAACACAGAAGACAGCCATGCCTGAACGCTAGACGAGGTATTGTCCCTGTACATCGCTGCCTGCTTGGGCATCGAAATAATCACGAAGGATTCGGACCTGACCTCTCGAGCCGACCCTTGCCTACATCAGAAAAGTTTGAAGGGCATTCCGCTGAAGTTTGGATGGTAATGCAGTCCTGCATGTCGACATTCTGCAAAGCAGCAGCATCCACATGTATAGGCATGAGTTTATCTTTGTCACTGGCGGGGTCTCACTTTCTCCAAACAAGCGTCTGAGCCGAAGTTTTTTTTTGTGTCCTGTGTCTGTTATTCAACTGCAGGGAAACAGAAATGTAATCTCGAGCTGTGGACTTGCCCTTTGATGCAAGAGAGTGTCTTGCCCGTGCCCGAGTCACAACTGATGTCCCAACGTTAGGATCATTCTTGGACACTACTTGTGATCTGTACGTCTTCATCGAGCCCATGCAACAGTGACGAGTGCTAAGGTCGGGGTTCAGGCCTAACTGACTACGATGGGACGCCCATTTTCCGTGCCATCAGACCGAGGAGACAGCATCGATTGTGAGCCAGCACTTTGGAAGCCTGTCCAGCACGCTGTGCCTCGGCGTGTCTTTCATGACACTATCGTGAATGAGCGTCTTGCCAACTCTTCGCCTTATCCAGCCCTCTTTGTGCGTCCGCCCTCACGACTGTCCGTCTAAAGGGAACATTCATGAAGGTTTCAGAATTTCATCCCTCGGTGCCAAAGCGCATAGTCACGTGCCCAAGCAACCTTGCGCGGGAGAACCAAAGAGCTAGAGCAATCATTTGCCAGTAGATCTCAGCCCATGGATCCTGGAACACAGGCTGACGCTGACTGCATTCGTCACCGTGGATTCCATTTCGCCGATCTACGGGCCCTTGATCGCCAGCAAACCCGGACTCGCTGGGCACCTTTGCGCTCGATTGCCCACAGACCCCCTAGCCGCCTAGCCCTAGCCAGACCTTTGATGACACAAGAGAAGTACCACTATCTGCGGTCCTCATCGGTAATCCTTCACTATCCTTCATCGCTCGATGACCTCTTCCTGTTGATGGCGGATACGGTTGCAGTCTGTGTTTCCGAAAATGTATTTGATCTGATGTCGTTTTGACCACTTGTCTTCAACGAATACCACGGTGTATCTAGCTATACGAGACAGTACCTAACGCGTTCAAGCTCCGTGGGGCGACAGCTGACCGACTCAGGTACTTTTTCTTCATCGTGCTGTTTGTCTCCATTGCGCTGATGAGACTTGCCTTGCGACAGCGGAGGGCCCTGAACCCCATACCCCAAATATGGAGGTGGCCTTCGACTGGCCAGGCCATTGCAGCGGACCTAACAGGCAAAGACGTAGTAGGGCAAGGGAAGTTCGGATTCCCTGAATCCCACTACATGAGAATGTTGTGTCCGCTATTTGTATAGTTAAAGTTTCCATATGGATTGTAGCTCGAACACTTAACTTACTTCACAGTGCCCTATCTTGCACCTGACCATTGATGTCTCCGTGTTAGGATCCGGTCCTGTGTGCCGAGGGTAGTACTGGCCAACTTGATGTTGTTACTAGGCAAACGAGCCGAGAAGCAGTGTGTTGAGCCTTGCTGCAACGAAGCCGGAAGCCGCTCCAAATCAAATTCTGCGACGAGGAACCTTGTTACCGCTGTGCTGGTGGAAGGCGCCTTAGCCAATGCGTCGGCGGACAAGGCGCGACTTGCAGTTGTGCTCGCTGTGAGGCTGACGGGGGCAATGTCGGTGGTTTGATTTCCACAGTCCCGACGGCGTGTCTGCGAAGCATGCATATATATATATATATATACATATATAGAGAGAGAGAGAGAGATACAGACACACACACACACACACAAACATACACGCGGCAGCCGCAATCACGCAAGCGCTCATGCACACTCGGATACAAGGACTGATGCAGACAGAGACAGCAGACGGACGAACAGAAAGAAGCCAAACTTGATCACAAGACGGACAAAAGGACAGACCGACCGACGGACGAGCGGCCGGACGGAGAGACAGACGGAGACAGCCAGACCGACGGACAACTGACAGAGACCGAGACCGATGCGGAGACAGGGACAGTGGCAGAGACAAAAAGGGACGGAGAGACGGGCGGACAGACAGAGACAGAGAGACGAGACACCGGAGACGCAAACCTTCGGAACATTAACTCAGATGTACCTGCACATGCCCGGAGATTCACATCAGTATGTCGCGCTGTGCGTTTTAGCGACCTCTTCAGCTGATCTGTTGACACACCTAACATTCCTCATCCTTCTGGGCACAGCGCAAATCGAAAGCGTTGCAAAAGATAGATGTCACAATATGTAAACGTCACTGGTGAGCTGTCGGATCGTCGAGCCGACTTGTCCGCGGAATATGGCAATTGTTGGACCATGGTTGAAGCCATTACAGTCGGTGTGCCAAGAGACTCCAAGAGAGCACAAGCACGGCTACCACCAACACCGGTAGCAAGCAACAGCTCCCTCCGAGCTCAGAAATGGTGCTACTCTGCCCAGAAAGCGTCACGGTTAGTGCTCGCAGCTGCATCATGGAAGTACTGATTGAAGTGTTCAATCCTACGCGGGCCAGGATCCCCGACCAGAAGCCTAGAATCGAAAACTCGGCCTAATGCCCCTGCGAGCCAGGAAATGGAGCGAATGGACTTGAGGGAGAAGCTGCGCAGCGAAATGCCCAGGCATGGTTTCGGAGTTCACATCCCGTTTAGCGGCATGCTGGTCATCAGGCAGTTTGGGGTTGGATGGGGAACAACAATTTCTGGCCAATACTCTGATCGGAAAGCTTGCATCTAGTTTGCAGCGTGTGAGCACAGCCAAAGTCTCCTATATGCATTATCCCCAGCACCAACGTACTGATTCTTTGAGTGTTGAGGAGCTCAGGACCCAGGCTCGGGTTTAGCAGGTCAGAGCAGGACTAACAGGATGTCAGGCAGAAGCGCGACGCCGGAATCAGGCCACATTAAGCCTGGCGTGCAAGCTTCAAGTGGGACCAGATGCTGGACCCGGACACATGAAACAGATGTAATAAATGAAGCCTGCGCAAGAGCATGGAAAGCTGAACTTCCTACGTAGCAGGCCGTGTTGCCATGTCAATGTTTGCACAGGCTCTCGCAGATCTTCGATGAGATTGACAAGGCCACACTGTTTCAGCAAGCCCGAACTTTGTTCGGATAAGTAGAGGGGGTAACCCTCGCGAGAACATCAACTCTGCTACCTTGACGGCTTGGTGCATGGGCATAGGAACCTTCTCCAAGGCAGTTTCACCTCCACGGTCATATCGTCTTTAGCAGAAGTCGCCGGTCCGGTATGACACATTATGGTTCTTAGTGTACTGCTGAACGCTGTTCAGTAGTTCTTGTTGCAGCCAGCGGTAAAACATGACTCGAACTCGACCCATTCGGGTACCAGGCGAGTTCTCAAGCTTTGCTGAGTGGCCCGCACAAGCCCCACCGTCCGACACAGAAAGAAGCAAAAGCCAACCAGGGCGCAAAGCAACAATCAGACCCGCGATGGTCTCCGGCGAGGATTCCTCTGGAACTCTGACTATGGACGAGATGGCGATGGTCCCCGCAACTCGTGCGTCAGGTTTGCATCCTCCTGCTTTCGGATAGGGTGATGGTCCATTGCTCGTCCTGTCTAGTCTGCTATGACGAAGGCTTGTTTTCCTCTGCGAATATCTGTCTGTGCATATCTATGGATAGACAGTCGTTGTTTCATGCTGCTCGTGGTTGTAAGTATTTTTTGTCCCCTTTCCTAGGGTTGGTACCGTTCCTGTTCCTACTGGCACTAAAAGGACCACCGCTGGCACGACTGCCGTGACTGCGAGAACGTTTCCTTTGAATGCTCTTTCCACTTCGACGAATTGCAGGCTTCCAAGTGCGAAGTACTTCTTTTTCACTATAGCTTAAGATTTCCACAACAGTACGGCTTGAGTTCCAGCCCGCAGCCGAGGTAGATATCATTCCAGAGGAGCTGCGTTCGAAGAGCCGTGTTTCATCCATGCAGGACCTCGGTGTGGGTTCGAGTGAGGATTGGAGTTGAAGTCTGACCTGGTCTTAGCGGACTCCAGCGGTCCCAGTGAGTGATGAGACGGACGGGATTCAGGCATCACGGTGACGACGATCTGATTCTATCGACACGTAAAAGCCCTAACGAAGTCGTAACATTTGCAATTGGCGGCATGGACAAGCTGGGGTGTGGATTGAGGATTCACTTAGGCTAGATATGGTCGGGTTGTACCAGTTGTACCACCTGTCCTTGAATACCAGGGTTAGTTCCACAGAATTTGGCCACTATCGGGGATAATTTACTGTGGATACGTCTGTACCGTTCTGTACCTATTTATATATATATATAGGTATGTATGTACGTATGTATGTATGTATGTATGTATGTATGTATGTATGTATGTATGTATGTATGTAGGTGTGCCTGTATGTTTATCCATTTATTCTTTTTTCTATTGTTAATTTATGTATTTACTTGTTTATTTATGAACTTGTTTATTTATGATCACATATATGATTACATATGCATAAGAAGGCTCAATTGGGTTGCGTGTTTGCAAAAAACTCAGTCTGAATCCGTGGTACTTCACAACAACTCCCGAACTAACGGTTGGTCACCGAGTTCCCTGCCCAGCAGCCCGCAATTCCCAGGAGGTCTTCGAGATGCTCGACGTGGATGGCGGCGGTGAGCTGACCCGCGAGGAGTCAACATTTGGCAGCTCGTGCTTCCCTTTGCATCCCTAATCGATAGCCTCGGTTCGTTTGTGGCTGCAGACGGGTGCCGATGATGGTGTGTGTGGCCATGGATTCTTGTGTTTGAGAGGTAGACCGATCTAGAGGGTGGAAAGGTTGGGGTTCATGTCGGCTTGATTCTGTAAAGACTGTGTTGCTCTAATTGCTCTACATCCAGTAGCGGGTATCTGTTGATTCCATCATCGTGCACATAGACAGCTCCGGGCAAGCTCTTCGCCTACCTGCACCCGGGGAGGAGTTTGTCGACGGGCTCCTCAATCTTTTCATGCACGATGACCCCGCCACCTCCGTACTTTGGCCTTGCAGGTGAGGGATGAGGCAACGTGTATCCTTCGGGGAATGTGAGCAAGGCTTCCGGATCAGGTTCTGAGCTGACTTCGTAGCAGGTTCGGACGGTCAGCTTTGTTCATATAGTTATCTGAACACTTGCATTTTGTGGGTGCAAGGAAGTATTGCATGATGCTTCTGTTCTTGTGAATCTTGGCAGCTGGTATGATGCGCACCAAACGCGGTCTTCGTCGAGGTGCTGCATGTTTAGATGCCCACCGCGTGCGACTGTGGTGGTGTGCCCGTCCGGGGTTTGGCGATGAGAGCTCCTTGCAAACAGACTCTTCCGAGGAGCTGAGTGACCCTGAAAAACAATGACTTGAGTAAATAGCCTCTTCAGGCAGGTCTACGCAATTGCAGACCTAGGAACCGAATCGCGCGTTCACGCAAGGTCCAGACGCTTCGGTTGCTCCGCAAAGTGGACATGAAGGTGGGCTGCCGTTAATTTCCGTCCGGCCGTTTAGTCCGAAGACTCGGCTTATCCATCGCTGGCAAGAACCTTCTTTGAGAGATTCATAAGACAACCGGAATGTTTTCCACAGGGAGATGTGACATCTGAGTTTATAGATCATGGAGCATCAAGCCGTGATCAGGTTATGCATCTCACGCACGAGATTCAGGAAGTCGTCGGACGGGCACGGAACCCTTGATGTGCGATTTTCGGCACGGACTTGCTTCTCCAGCACAGCGAGATTTGAGCTTTGTCAAACAAGTCCGACGTGGAGGCAAGCCATGCGCTTTCGTGTTGTCTTAAATGGCAGCACCCGTTTGCGTTGACAGTGCACGGGGGCTGCTACTCAGAGGCACAGCCGCCACGGGAGACCGAGGGAATCATGTAAACTTCTCTGCCATGTCCTTGTTGTCCAGTTCCAGAGTAGAATGGTGGACATGAGGAGGGGGATAATGGAGGATACAACGTCAATGTCCTCGACAGTACTGACAGCACTGCAACAGATCATGGGCATTTCCTTGGACAGATAGGGTTTCGGGCACACAAGGAGGCGGCCTGGCCGCTGGAATGCTTCGAATCGCTTCTAGAGAGTCTAAACTCGCTCAGGGTCCACATGGCTCCCACGTGTCTCCCATGGTGTTACATACTTCGGTCGATTCAGGATGGCTGGCACCGCACCTAGTAAACTGGTATCAGATTTGAGCAGGTATTTTGAGCACCACTGGCGCTACTTGCCGTTAATAATCTTTGAAGTGTTCGTCAGCAGCTTGAAGATTTCAATTTGAGTTGGTTTCTAGAGGTGGCACGGAGCGAACTAAAGCAACATAGATCACGGTGAGCTCAGCATCGGCCGGAGTCGCCACACTGCAGCTACGTGCTCAAACGAGCCCGTTGCAAACAGTTGGCACGGACCTTTTGGTTTGTTTTAAGAGGGCAGCCCAACTCCTCATGCCAGCACACAGCAGTTCACCACTCCTCCATGCCTGTCACGCAGCTCACGACTTACGGCCTACATCGTTGGCAGGCTTGAGTTTCTATCAAGTGCACGATCCGACATGTGTAGGTTGGTATGGCCGTGGACTCCGTAACATTGACTGAGAAGAACCCATATCACCAGAGAAAAACACTTCTCACATGTTGAGTTCTGCCTGTTGCTGGGCATGTCCAAGTACAATCTCATGGCTCTGATGTTGCGTCGATATGTCGTGACTTCGAGAAAGTCAAGTTCACAGGCAGTCTCAGGAGGTCCTTGACCAGCTCAGTGCTGCTAGGTGGTTAAAGATCGCGCTAACGAGTGGAATCAGTGAGGTGGTATAGAACACTCCATCGCGACACCCCGGCTTTAAGTAGGTTTGACCAGCACATCTGCTACCGGCAAACATCGTGCCCCGAAAGCATTTCCCGAACTTACGCCAAAACTTGTTCAGGTACAGGTACGCGCTCCGAAGTAAGCAATGATCCACTGCAGACCTGCAAACGCTGCGCCGTGAGGAAGTTTTCAACTTGGATCAGCCGTTGGCAGCCTCGAGCCAGGAATGTGTACACAAGGCTTTCACTAGACAAGCCCCGCCCACGCAATCGTGACCAGTGAGTGTGCATTTGCACTCTTCCGCGTCCTGCAGGCGTGTTGCGTTCTGGTGCAGCCGTGACGACACGGGTATCCGTTCTAAGAGGGGCTTGTTGCAGGATCAGTCACTTTCCGCATCACCCCGGAGGAGTGTTAAGCAAAGGATCTGAGTTTCGGAGTAGAGCCAAATCCAATCTCGACATCTCGACTGGAACTTGGATGGTATCATGGTTTCAAGACCAGGTCGAGACCCTTAAACCCTGGAGGGAAGGCAGCCAATGTCTGATCGAGTTTGGGCCCTCGTAGCTTGTACGTTCGTGGGCCTGTCGTTGAAAGTTCGTGGGCTCAGCTCCGAAATGTGCAAAAAGGGGAGCTCTTGCTTCCTTTGAGCCGCAGGAATCCCGGCACTCTCTTCCCCAGACCCAACTTGCCGAGCAAAACGCCCATGCATTCGGGTTTTGGCGCAGGAGGCATTTCATGTTGTGTGTCCTAGGGTAGGGCTTCGACACCCCCGCAAGTTCCTTACCGGTCTATTACGAACTCAGTGCGGAGCCTCGTGCTCTAGATACATGCGACGAAAGCACGACCAAGGCCCGTTTCACATGAGATCGGCATTGGTTTGACACTGTTTGACTGGGTAGTGAATCACATAGAACAGGCAGCATCTGCAACGAGTAGTCATCTCGTGGGCTTCACATCTCGCGCCAGTTTCCTGTCAAGAAGCTGCTCTTCGTGCACACACGCCGGAGAAAGATGCACTGCCAGATCTGGCAAATGCCGCAATCTATCCTCCACGGGCTAGAAAAGGCACATCTCATGAGCAAAGACAAAAGCTTCAACTCTAGCCTCAACCCAAATCCGAACCTGGCAGCCTCAGGGGAGCTTTTCATTTCACGTCACGCTCCCATCTCGACAATCGATGAGCAGCAGCATCCTCACTCCGCGATGACAAAACTTAAGACAAGCTGTTCATGATAAAACCTGAGTCAGAACTAGAAGAGAGTCACCTTAACTTGACCAGACCAAGGCATTGTCAAACCTTGCTGGCTGTTAGACTGATGTAAGAAACACGAAATGCATGAACAATCGACGCGAAGGTGACAACAGCGCCAAATTAGTGCTTCAATATACCACGGCCCGTGTGCATTTGTTCAACCGAAAGGCTTGTCATTACCACAGCAATCCCGTCTAACTGCGGAAGCAGGTTGCGGCAAATGTTAGAGGTGACAGTTGAGATGGAGCAGTCATCGCGGCAACATCCCGTGGCAAAAGCATTTGAACGCATTGTATCGATGCCTGCCTTCTCTCGCTTCCGCAACTCCCTGTGCTGAGTGATCTAAATCCTGTGACTCAGCATTTCAGTGGCGAATTACCAGTCAAGAAACTTATAGTCAAACTTTAAGTATCTTTGAGTCTTGGCTGCAGGTTGCGGTTTGTTTCAGCAGAAAGCATCCGAGTAAGCCTCCTAGACTTTTCCTCGCCAGTGCATATGCAGAGAGCTTGCTTAAGCTTGCGGATTTGTTGGCGTGTTGCTTAGGATTTCGGGCTTTGGGGTAGTGTTTCGAGATGATGGTCACTGGTAGTCGGCCTTGACATGAATTCCCGGGTGGCTGTGCAAAAGCTGGGTGAGCCAAGGAATGACACACAGAGCTGGCACAACACCAAAGCGAGACGACCGGTCAAAGCAGGCGATGTGGCGTCGAGAGATATAGATAGTTGCGAGCTCGAGGTCGCGGACACCCCAAACCCCATAACAGCGCAAAGACGGCCTCATCAGTTTCTGTGATTTTTTGGCCCCTGCATATTTCCATTCACGCAGAGTTGTGTGTGTGTGTGTGCAGGTCCTAAATGTCGGGTTTATGCATGTGTGTATCTACGCATGTACGTGTCTTGCGTTTGTGTGCTCATGTTTCCAGTCCTGCTTCCTTTGCTTCGATGAGTGTTTGCCACGTCTGTATAGCCGCTGTGTGTATGTTTATTATAGTATATTAAAATATAGAAAAAGCCATGTCGACATGAGAGTGTTCCTGCAGCGCAGTATCCGGCAGAGGTAAGCTTTGTTGACTTCAGTCTCAATGCTGCAAGACCTGATGAAGCCTGACTTCGAAGTGCGCACCCACAGCCATGCTCTGCACCTGCTTGTCGAGTTCGCCCTACAAGTACAGGATCTTCAGCGCCTCACCGGCGTGGTTATCCACCGGCGCGTCTACCCGGATTCCATGCAGCTCGGTGCAATTACGCTGAAAGACCACAGTACACGCGACATACCGTGGTGATGCAGTTGGTGTCATGCTGCATGCTTCAGCCCTGTTCAATAACCTGAGTCGACAAGTCGTGCAATCTTCACAAGGCAGGTACTCCCTTCAGCACCGAGAAAATCGAAGATGAAAAGGACTGCATTTAGGTACAGCTTTTGCTACTGTATAATGGCACGGAGTGAAAGGTGGCTTTCCATCGTTGGCGAAGCTCCAGGGGCCTCGTGCCACGAAATTTGCTGCTCGGAATCCGAACTTGCACGATCCGGGATTTGTCGATGCTGAACTTAGAAATTTCCGTGTTCGGAGTGGGCAGAGGATGTGAAATGCGATATGGATTCGGAAATACAGGTCGTTTGCATGTCGTTGGGTTTCCAGCGCTCTTCTGGTCCGTCTACCTGCCAAACCCAAGAATACGTAGACTCTTTGCAAGACGGTTGGGTCCTGCATCCTCGTAAGCCCTTTGAAAGCTTTGGTGACAGTTCTTCGTGCCTGTCTCATCTTGCCATTACCAGACCGTGCCAGACCCAGGTTATCCAGAAGGTGGATCTCTACCAGTTCGGGACACTCCGACTCTGCCAGTGCGATCCCACTGCTAATGTCGTGCAACTTAGCCTGAGCGGACCGTGCCGTAAAGGCTTCATGATGCTCACGGCACAAGCAGAATCCAGAATTCCAGAATTCAGACAGCTTCCGAGTGTTGGTTGTCGATGAAAGAGGGGCATCGCGTCAGTCCAAAAGTGATAGCACAGGTATTGGCCTGAATTCTTGAAAGCTTCAAGTACATATTTGAAATCAGGGGCGCCGTTAGAAGAGCAGGTTCGATTGACCCTCACCTTACTCCCCCATGCACGGAGCCCAAGATGGACCCGAGACATGGGAAGGACCTCTGGCGCGGAGTCAAACTTGGAGACTCTGTAGAGGCCATGGGCTGCTGGAAGCAGAAGCTTGCCTCAGCCAACTCCCACCAAATCCCATGTCCTAACTTATGGAGATTAGGGTGATCCTGCACGCAGGTTAGGGCTGTAAGTGAAGCTTGAATCGGAGCTTGGTTTCCCTGCTGTGCTCGCGGACTCCCGCGCTCCAAGAAGCGAAGCAGCATGGTTGAGTGATTTGTGTTTGTAGTTTCAAAGCGGTACTTCTTGAGCGAAGTTTTGCCCAGCACGTGCTATGAGGCTTCTCTTGAACTGCAGACGGTGGTCCCCCTGCTTTGCTCAACGCTGTTCTGCCTGGTAGGACCATCCACACAAGAAGCCACCCCACTTCACAAGAATCGCGGCAGCTGCTGCATGTCAGCCTGGTGGTGTCTAACAGCTCAAAATCGTTATACAGTCAAGCCAGTGTCAAGCCATATCTCTCCTCGCCTCGCGACCCTGTTCACGCTATTCAAGTCTACAATCATTCGATGCAATACCCAGGCCACGGTACAGGGCAGAGTGGGTTCGGTAGGACAGAACCAAAGGTAGCCACCGCATCTTTGAGGACTGTGCTACGAAGATTTGAAAGTCTCGCCGCCCAACAATCACAGCTAAGGAAAGGTTTCTGCGGGCACTGTCTCGAAGCAACTTCGGTAGTCGTGGAATCGACGCTGGAAGCAAACTGTCCGCACAGGTTGCATCGTTAATTTAAGCAGTCATTTCGGCAAGTGCGTGGGGTTGGGGATGGCGTCGGAATCCTGAATCATCCGCGTTCTGAGCCAAATTCCAAGCCTGTAAGCTACAATCTACAGCAGGTGCTGCCCCGTAGCAGCTTGCCAATCAAAACGCAAGGCTTCGCCTGCAGTTGAGGATGTCGACATCAAACGCGCAGACGCAACACAGCTAACCCGCATCTGCAAGGGTAGCAGAATAGAGACACTTTGTTTGGCCAGGTAGCCAGGCAACTTACATGCTTCGTGTTACACCATTACATCTGATACCTGTTGCACCATGAGCTCTCTCCAAACCATGTGCTCTAGTAATCCAGCGATGCTCCATGCTGTCCGCAGACTTGATGCTGCAACTCTTCCTGTTCCAAGCATAGCAAGGAAGTCCGGTGTCCAGAACTTCGGGGCCAATCGTGCCATGCAGACTTTATTGCTTAACTGCATACTTGGAAAACAAGCTTTGGGCAGCCTAAGGACCTAATGCGTGCAAAGGAAGTCCCGAAACCGAGAGTCGCTCCTCTGAGGATGCGGCTTTGGAGCATTGAACGGTGCCTGACAGTTCGCCACTCGCCGCATCAGACCGAGCAGTTTCGCCGGCTGCCATGGGAGGAATTTCCACTTCAACCGTGACTGCATGTCACTGGTGTTGCTCTTGTCGAATTTGTACCCCCCCACTTCAACCTTAGCCCACGCCCTATACCCCCCCCCC